ACTGACCCCAGTGTGTAGTGCTCCCCTCCCTGTGTCCATGTGTTCTCATTGTTCAACACCCACCTATGAGTGAGAACATGCGGAGAACACCATAGTTCTATAGCAACAGAAGACTAAAATGATATTTTCAATCATTCCAAGTTTTCAAATTGTTTTAGAAGTAGAGATGAATGTCTCTTCTGAGTTCCCTATACATGAGTAAGCTGAGACTGTTCACCCACTTCTGTCTGGATTGGTGGTTGCCTACTTTCCTTTAAAATATAGCAGCCAGTGACTACAAACTTCACAATACAGGGCCAGTCTCCCTGTGGGAGGGGTACTGGTCAGTGGAGCCCCATATCTTATCTCAAGATTCCCCTTTGAATGTACTGGTTACTTCCTTGCTGGTATCAAGCACTGACCACAATTAATAACCAAACCACAGAAGGAAAAAAAAAGCCTGGAACATTCACCAAGGCTTTCCTAAAGAATCTTCGATAATGAGGAAATAAACATAGAATATCACACAGAACTACATAATCACAGCTCACCAGTACTCTCAGGCACTGTGCCACCCTCACATACTCCTGGAGAGAAGGGGTCGCTGTTCCCACATTTAATTTCTTCAGCTTTTTCCTACACCAATTTTTTTCCTCCACACTTCTAAGAGATACAATCATTTCGCCATGAAGGAATTTCCTTACTATTGTGTCTAAGATGGATATAAATTGATGGTTTTTAAAATTAAAATATAATTTGAAATTATTTGAATATACAATATATCAATATTTGCCACTTTTACAGTGATATGCTCCTGGAAAAGACATTTATTAAGCAAGCTCAAAAGGTTAGTTGTAATCTCAGAAACAAGATAATAATTAGGTGCTCAGTGCCTGTCAAAGAATTAGTATTAAATCAATCATATATATGACTAACTGCTTGTAATTAAGGGACAGGGCTGATGCAAGATACTGCCTGCCCCATTTTCTTTCTGCATTGCATGATTGAGCTTCTGAGGCCAGCCTTTTCTTTCTTAATGTTTACTAATGGAATTCCAGTACTTTGCCTTGAAACTATAGGTCATTTGAATTCCTAATAAAAATAATTCAAACAATACGAAAATATAAGTCCCTCTCCACTAGGTGCAGAAATGCAGATTTTGTTTTGTGACACAAAATTTAACAGAGAAATTTAATTACTAATACATCTTGTAAAACACTTGTGCTTCAAAGATAATTGCTATGCCCTGTAAAAGTAACCTCTAACATCTGAACAATCTGTTGTAATTGATTGCCTTGAAAAGTTGTTTTCCTGGTTAATATTTGTACAAACTCTTCCCTATTTGCCCAGGACCTCCCCAGTTCTAGCACTGAAAGTCCCACAACCCAGGAAAGCCCTTACTCCTAGATAAGCTCAGAGGGTTGGTCACCCTGACTCCCTTGTGTTCTAGAAGATACAAATACATGTGAATTTTCTGTGTAAAGTCAGAAGAGAATTATTGGTACTTAGCTCTTTTCCCTTAAGCAGAAAAGTGCTTAAAAAAAAAAAAACCCCACAGCTGCAAAATTCCTTGCTTAAAAAAAGAGGTTGAGGATCTGTGCCTCACTTAAATTAACAAAGCATGTTGACTTATTTAAAATTATTATGAAAGTTTATAGTTTACAGTTACAACTGTAAACTATAAACTTTCATAATAATTTTAAATAAGTCAACATGCTCTGAATCCCATAAAATAGACATATATTTCTGTGCCTGTTAAGTACTCAAAAAGAAACATGTTAAATAAGCCTATCTGAGTAATAAAATAGATTTATGATTGATTTCAAGCTGACAATTAACAATAATTTTGGTGTTCTCTTAGAGTTTAGAGGAGCTTTGAGGAGAATGGTTTAATGAGCTCAGCACTATTTAAAAACTTCGCTAACTAAAATGAACCTAGTAGTGCTGGAGTAGAATTACTGATATCAGTATGAACTCATGTTTTGCTTACTATAAAAACACATGGGGGGTTTCAGCAGAGGCTGTGTCAGAACCCAAGCCAATGGGAGTCCGGTTTGGCGTTGTCAACCTGTGCGCATGAGTCTGAGCGTGTGAGTGGCTGTGGTGCCCCAGCTCCTTGCCAGCAAATCATCCAGCAGGAGATAAACTACATTCAGTTGAGTCTGCAAGACTGGGAGGAATGGGAGTGATAAGAAATTTCTTCATTATCAAGGTTTATTGAAGTGAAAATGTCCAAAAATATCAGTGGCAGTTCTGTGGCAGAGATGCAAGGAGATGAAATGACATGAATCATTTGGGAATTGATTAAGGAGAAACTCATTTTTCCTTATGTGGAATTGGATCTACATAGCTATGATTTAGGCATAGAGAATTGTGATGCCACCAACGACCAGGTCACCAAGTATGCTGCAGAAACCATAAAGAAATATGACTTTGGTGTCAGGTAGGCCACTATCACCCCTGATGAGAAGAAGGTTGAGGAGTTCAAGTTGAAACAAGTGTGAAATCACCAAACAACACCATACAAAATATTCTGGGTGGCACCAGAATATTAATATTAATATTAATATTCTGAAGATTAATATTAATCTTCAGAGAAGCCATTATCTGCAAAAATATTCCCAGGCTTGTGGGCGGACGGGTAAAACTCATCATCATAGGTCATCGTGCTTATAGGAATCAATACAGAGCAACTGATTCTGTTGTTCCTGGGCCTGGAAAAGTAGAGATAACCTACACACCAAGTGACAGAACCCAAAAGGTGACATACCTGATACTAACTTTGAAGAGGGTAGTGGTGTTGCCACAGGGATGTATAATTAAGATAAGTCAGTTGAAGGTTTTGCACACAGTTCTTTCCAAATGGCTCTGTCTAAGGGTTGGCCTATGTATCTGAGCACCAAAAACACTATTCTGAAGAAATATGATGGGTGTTTGAAAGACATATTTCAGGAGATATAGGACAAGCAGTATAAGTCCCAGTTTGAAGCCCAAAAGATCTAGTGTAAGCATAGGCTCATCCATGACATGGTGGCCCAAGTTATGAAATCAGAGGGAGGCTTCTGGGCCTGTAAAAACCATGGTGGTAACGTGCAGTCAGACTCTGTGGCCCAAGGGTATGGTTCTCTCAGCATGATCACCAGCGTACTGGTTTGTCTAGATGGCAAGACAGAAGCAGAGGCTGCTAACGCAGCTGTAACCCGTCACTACCACATGTACCAGAAAGGACAGGAGATGTCCACCAATCCCGTTTCTTCCATTTTCACCCAGACCAGAGAATTAGCCCACAGAACAAAGCTTAGTAACAAGAAAGAGCTTGCCTTCTTTGCAAATGCTTTGGAAGAAGTCTGTATTGCGACAGCTGAGGCTGGCTTCATGACCAAGGACTTGGCTGCTTGCATTAAAGGTTTACTCAATGTGCAACGTTCTGACTACTTGAACACATTTGAGTTCATTGAAAAACTTGGAGAAAACTTGAAGATCACACTAGCTCAGGGCAAACTCTGAGTTCATACCTGGGCTGAGGAGGATAAGTGTCCTTTGGTAACTAGGTCTACGGGTTTACATTTTTCTGTATCACACTCAAGGATAAAGGCAAAATCAATTTTGCAATTTGTTTAGAAGCCAGAGTTTATCTTTTCTATAAGTTTACAGCCTTTTTCTTATATGTACAGTTATTGCCACCTTTGTGAACATGGCAAGGGACTTTTTTAAAATTTTATTTTATTTTCTAGTAGCAGCCTAGGAATTTGGTTAGTACTCATTTGTATTCACCGTCACTTTTTCTCATGTTCTAATTATAAATGACCAAAATCAAGAATGCTCCAAAGAGTAAATGATAGCCACAATATTGTTCCCTAAAATATGCATAAAGTAGAAATTCACTCCCTTCCCCTCCTACCACCTTCAGCACAGGAAGGTTCTGGCATCATACATGTCCCATTACGTGAGGTAGAGCTGTACATTAAACTTGCACATGACTGGAACAAAGTATGCATTCAACTCAAATGTGTTGAATATACTGTAGTCATTTTTGTAAAAAGCTTGCTGAATGTTTCCAATAGGCTAAATATCGTTTAGGTCACAGGAGAGATTGGAAACAGGAATAAATACTACCTGATCATCGACACAGCGGCCAACATGAAAGTGCCCCCAGTGGCCACAGCTGAAACAAGTTGAACAACGAAATAAATAACATAACAAAGAACTAAAGCTCAGAATATATGTATAAGATTCAACTATATTTGTAACAAAGAAAAAATAAGAGCAATAAAAGACAAGAAATAAAGGAAGGCAATTAGAGACAAGCAAGTGGACACTGGCAAAAAAAATATATTTGGAAGAAGGAAAGCAGTTGGAAGGTTCTGGAAACTGATTAAATGGAGAAAAACATGAACAAAATTGCTTACAAAGGAACAATTTTTCTCATCAGATCTTGTGAATGGTCAGCCAGATTCAAAATAGGAGAGAGTTGAGGCACAAGGCTGAAGCAGGGGCTTTGGTTAAAAGTTTGTATGTGAAACATTGGTGTTCCCCCTTACCTTCTACACGCTAGCAATAAAATCCTGGGAGCCAGGTATCCTTTCTCAAGAGGGCACCTTCTCAAGGGAAATTGAGAGGCTCAGGAGTAAAGATGCTCTCCGAGACCACAGATTAAATCTTTGGAGGTAGTCAAAATATATGGCATCTATAAAACAAAGATGGAATGTTGATTCTCCCAGCTAAAAGGAATATTCGAAGAAAAAAAAATTGGAAGAGGCAAATTGTCAGAGAAATAATACTAGAGAAATCCTCAGTGATATCAAAGTCACTAGATTGAAAATTCCTACTGAGTCTCCAAAATACTGACTTTAAAAAAAACTAAGTTAAAAAGAAAGACCTGAGGCACATTATTAGAAATCTTATAATGCCAAATTTGAATACAACAAATGAGAAAATGTAGGTTACTTAACAAAGAATGAGAATGACTTGGGTTTCCCATCAGTAACCCTGGATGTTGCTAGAGGACAGACAAGCAGAACCTTCAAAAATATGAGAGAAAATGATTTTCAACAATTAATATTTTACTCTGCAAAATTATCAGTCAAATTTAAGATGAAATAAACATATTTGTAAATGCACAGATTTAAATAAATTATACTTAGGTGAATTTAAGAATTTCTAAGGATTTTACTTAACAGTAGACTTCAAGAAAATTATAATAGAGCTAACCATAAAAAGAAAGGTAAGAAAACTTGAAATGATTCAACCTAACAAAATGACTAAGGGAAGTCCCCAAATAGAAGCTGAACAACAGGCCTGGAGAACAATCAGACCAACATTCAAGAGCAAAAGAAACATGACTCCCAGGCCATCAGGGAAAAAAGGAGAGGAAGTCAAATAGCATACAAAATGTAGAAAATTTAGAATATTTTAAAGGTACATGAATGTAAAATGGACAAAATAAGAAGAAGCACTTAGAAACACTAGGAAAAACACTAGGAAAATTTTAAATTTTAAAAGTATTCAAGAAAATATTGATTTTTGATAACTTAAAGTAGATATATCCTAAAGTAGATATATATATATATGGCCACTTTAAGTGATTTATATACATATATATGTGTGTGTACATACATATATATATATATATATATATACACACATATATATATACACATATATATATATATATACACATATATATATATATATATGTATAGAAGGCTAGGGGAGGGGAGGGAGATATCTCTAAACAGATAAAACTTTACCAATCAAAACAGGAAGTCAATAAGTGATCTCTCTCAATTTGAAAAATAAGAATATTATAGCATAGGCATATCCTTGAAATAAGAATATAACCACTGAAAATAAAGCAAATAAGAGTTAAAAATTATTGCTTCTTCACAGAGGTGGAAATGGACAATGGATTGCTGGCTTTCCTTACATGTTCTATGACTAAATAATGTTTTTAATATGTATACTTTAATGTTAATTTTTATATTTAAAAGTAAAATATTAGATATTTACATTTTAAAAATCAGAGAAATAATAAGAAATAATACAGGAGAAGTACCCAGAATAAGGGGTAGAAGTGTTCAACTCATGGCCCAATTATATGATTTTGACTTATTAAAGATTAAAGAAAAGATTCAGAGAAAGAAAGAGCCTTGTGATAATTCCAGTTTATTTTCTTGCCTGTATTTTTTCTTTGTATTTTACTCAATAGATATTTTTCTTTTCCCCCCTCCCATTTATTTATTTTATTGCATTTTAGGTTTTGGGGTATATGTGAAGAACATGCAAGATTGTTGCCTAGGTACACACGTGACAATGTAATTTGCTGCCTTCCTCCCCATCACCTACATCTGGCATTTCTCCCCTTGCTTTCTCTCCCCAGCTCCCCACCCCACACCGTCCCTCCCCTATTTCCCCCAAACTGACCCTAGTGCGTAGTGCTCCCCTCCTTGTGTCCATGTGTTCTCATTGTTCAACACCCGCCTATGAGTGAGAATATGCAGTGTTTGATCTTCTGCTCTTCTGTCAGTTTGCTGAGAATGTTGGTTTCCAGGTTCATCCATGTCCCTACAAAGGACACGAACTCATCATTTTTGATGGCTGCATAATATTCCATGGTGTATATATCCCACATTTTCCCTATCCAGTCTATCGTCGATGGGCATTCGGGTTGGTTCCTGGTCTTTGCTATTGTAAACAATGCTGCAATGAACATTCGTGTGCATGTGTCCTTATAGTAGAATGATTTGTAATCCTTTGGATATATACCCAGTAACGGAATTGCTGGGTCATATGGAATTTCTATTTCTTGGTCCTTGAGGAATCGCCACACTGTCTTCCACAATGGTTGAACTAATTTACACTCCCACCAATAGTGCAAAAGTGTTCCTGTTTCTCCTCATCCTCTCCAGAATCTGTTGTCTCCAGATTTTTTAATGATTGCCATTCTAACTGGTGTGACATGGTATCTCAATGTAGTTTTGATTTGCATTTCTGTGATGACCAGTGATGATGAGCATTTTTTCATATGTTTGTTGGCCTCATGTATGTCTTCTTTTGTAAAGTGTCTGTTCATATCCTTTGCCCACTCTTGAATGGGCTTATTAGTTTTTTTCTTGTAAATGTGTTTTCGTTCTTTATCAGCCCTTTGTAAGATGGGTAAACTGCAAAAATTTTTTCCCATTCTGATGGTTGCCGATTCACTCTAATGACTGTTTCTTTTGCTGTGCAGAAGCTGTGGAGTTTGATTAGGTCCCATTTGTCTATTTTCGCTTTTGTTGTCAATGCTTTTGGTGTTTTGGTCATGAAATCCTTGCCTACGCCTATGTCCTGAATGGTTTTGCC